TGCAGAAACCTGCACTACTCCAAGTATTTACTTAAAGACTTGGTATGCTGATTTTGAAGGCAAAAAACCAGACCAGTACAGGAATAAGACGATTATAGTCTTGAGAAGAAAAGGATCATACATGATACAAAGGGTATTATATCATGTAGACGAGTCTGGTCATTCTGAAGAATTTAAAACCAGTACCATTATGGCTAGTTGAGTAAGGTAATATTTCTAAGCTGAGTTATATTCAAACCAAAAAAACAGAGCTGAGCAGAACGAACAAAATTCATGAGACTAAAGAGTTCATTTTCTGTACCTGTAAGCGAGTCTTAATAGTGTCCAATGGTGTCGTGATGGAGGATGCAGTAGCACCAGCGAAAATCCCTCCAGCAGCTTGAACCGACACTAACGTCCACTGGCTAGGAGTAGGTTCATCATGCTCAGTGCCTTGACCTAAGAGCCTGCCCGATGCATATTAAATGCTGACAAGTTAGTTAAGATAGCAGGCAATTTATACATTAATTTAAAAAAAAAAAAAAAAAAACCATTGTTGATGAAAAATATAATGCAACCCAACAGCAACACATCAATACACCAGCGCCTCATCTATCCATGTCTGAGAGATTATTTCATAAAAAAAAGGGATACTAATGATACTCAGACGACTGAAGATTCACAACTACAGTTATCAAACCAGGCTGTGGATGTATGAACTTGTGTTTATTATTTAAGATTATCTAGTTACCCCAGCACGCCCTAAAGTCTAAAGGAATATCATGGACAAAGTCTCCACTTACAAGCTCCTATAATACATTCAGCATTGATTGAAAATAAACCAGCACGGCTCACATCTAACCAGCACGGCTCACCTCCAGATGAACCGTTGGCTAGATCCATAGCTTGCCCACCATACAGCACTAGATGGAGAATAAGTCATAACAGATAGACCAAACCCTCTATATAGTCCTCGAATGCCATCTGACTTTAGAATCTTACGAGCAACATCCAAGCCCCCATTATAGTGCGCATGCCCTGAATACCCTTGCACCATCAACCGTTGGCTAACCTGTTTAAATCCATCACTGTTGAGATTAGCCTAGTAAAGTAAATTTCCATAAATGCTGTTAAGCGCAGTAAAATATGCCAAAATCAACAACATGCTCTATGATGCGAGATTGAGAAGAGATGAAACATTTTGACATAAGAAAAATGAAAAAAGAAAAGAAAAGAGAATTGTGATAGCACAACAACGAAAAGTTTTGAAAAAAAAAAAAGAAAAGAGAATTGTACTGGTAAAAGTAAAACACTTTCATTTCTTATGTTTCCAGCTTACGTGGACTTGACAACTCAAGATAGGGATTGAGAACTAACAAGGTGTTAAAATCGCTTTCATATCTGCTTTAGGTAATATGTTATAATTCGCAAAGTGATGTCAGCACACTATACTCACTGATTGGGACATTCTCCTGCTGCCCATCAAATAATTAGCCCATTAAATCAATTATTATACAATGTGAAAGGACAGTAAAATGCTCATAAAAAACATGGAAGCTTACCACATCAACCGGAACAAACAAAGCCTGAGAACAAAGGGATGCTGCCATGCCAGCAATTCCATTTGCAATGGCTGCCTTTGCAGGTTCTGAAAATTTGAACGGTTCAATCATCCCCAAAGCAGACACTTTTGTAGTCTCTAGTGCAGTAAGAAATATAATCCTGACAGGAATTGCTCCAGTAATGACTGTGCCGAAACCCCTGTATAAACCAGGAATCCCATCTGTTCTCAGTATGCCTCTGATAACTGAAAATACATTCCTCTCAACAGCATCCTTTGAAGCAACCTGCAGCCTAGTCTTGACAAGAGAAATGGGATAAAGTGCAACCGTAACACCCGTAAATATTCCAGCTCCTACGAGATAAAACTTACTTTTATCAAGCCTGCACGATAAGTTGGAAGACATGAATAAAATAACATATATAGAAAATCACAGCAGGACGGAGAAAACTTATAAAGAGCAGGAAATTCAGAAAGAAAAGAAAAAAAGCAACAAATACAACATTGCAGGTGTGCGAATGGAGTGAAAAAACTGGGATCCACCATAAAAAGGGTTCCGCGTTGGCCATTCATAGGGTAATTAAGTAACGTAGCCGAAATTAGGAAGTTTACTTGAGGTCCTCTCAACTGTCTTCTTTTTGGCATAAAACTGATTTGTGATCCTGTCAACTGACTTCTTTATGGCATAAAAATGATATTTGCTCCTACGCGAGTAATAGTAACAAAAACGCAACCAAGACTTGGACCATAAGCCTCTCTCTAAAGCTGTAGTTGCAGATCAATCCAAAAACTGCTTTAATCGGATTTTCCACCCAAAACCAACAATGTTAACACTTCTACTCATCAACTAAAGTATAGGCATACTCCAGACAGAGTTTGATTATTTGCTACTGAAAAATAAAGTCATTTAAGAATGTCTCCATATTGGTGTAGATTACTCATACTCCAATGCATCTTCAAATGGCATAGAAATACCTATGCTTAGCAAAGTATAGATATCCGTTAACACACCCTCTTAAAAGAAACCTTCAAATAACTAAATATATACCGGAATGTCTCTTAGTAATGAGTCTAATGACTAATGGCTGCTCGCGTGATTTGGAATAGAGTAATATCTTCTATGTAAAATATAAAGTAACTTCATCTAAGAACTTCTAATTGAAATATGAATATTTACTAGATTGTACAAAAATGTCGTTTTTGCATCAATCCAAAGTATAAGAAAGATTTTATAAGTTTAAAAAGTTCATCCATCATTGGTGGTGAAGGCTCAATAGGGTCAGCCATAGGAGCAACCTAGTTTATACTCTCTAGCTCTGCCGCTGGTGCTATTTTCTCCGCTTCATATGGATTTGGAATCAAGCGTGATGATATGCTGCAATGGGTGCTGCTTAAACTGCCATAACGAAGCTTAGTCATCGCCATTGTGTTCGGTCCGCCCTCTCACTACAACTTGGCTTTTGGACCTTTCCCTCTAGTTAGCTTAGCTTGTCCCACGGGACTCCTAATATTTATTTTTTTGAATCCTCTTTTTTCTATAAGATAATTTAAACTTAACTGAACTTCCTTCAAAACGCTCATTCAAGCCAAAGAGATTTATCTATGGAACAACCATAAAACGAAACTCTTTTTGTGATCTTTTATACATATCAAAATCCACACAACTTAATTCAATAAAATAATAAAACACGTAACAAATCAAAATAATAGATACATTTCATATATGAAACCATTTCAAAATAAAGAAATTTGGCCTTTTTTTTAACTCTAATATGTGTTTGTTGAAATCGATACTTTAGATCCAAATAGATCACATTTGTAAATTATTTCTTTTTTGTCAATTGACCTTTCTTTTTAGATATACTCCAACTGAATGCCCCATGGTGCATCCTTGTGGTTGGCCCCAGTCTTTCTATTAGTAATCAAGCTATCCTTTGACCATCTCCACCCTGGAATCTATCACCTTCTCACAATGTTCACAAATCATAGCTACTCTTTGGTAAATTCTCCGTCTTTATATTTTATCAAAGTTCATGGGGTGCCATGAAACTAAAATCCCTGTTTTGTTGCATTAAATGCTTAGCAGATTCTCTGGTGTCCACAAACTTTGTTTCTGCTGTTAGTACACTACTCATTGGCTTTGCCAAAAAGACAATCACATAGATATAGAAAAGCACAAAACATACATAGTAGCTGTTTATCCACTGATTACAGAAGTATTGGCAAAATTAGTCGTCCAAACAATACTCTATGCTAGTAAATAAAATTTTAATTCATAGCTTAATTGGAGCCCAAACCTCACATTTTTTAGCAGCACTGCCTACAAAGCCTTGATCATAAGCTATGCAAGATGAAGAAAATGAAATCGACATAACCACATTTCCGGCCAAGATATCAAATCGATTTTGTAAGTATATATGGAAATGAAATCAATTACGCAACTCACCATAAGGGGTCACATTTGGTCCAACTAAAATGCCAAAAAATGAAACCTGATATTTATCTTTCACAATGGCTTTTTTCAATGCTCCTTTCGATAAAGAAAACCAAATGTTTCCATAATCAACACCATCATTATATACAAACATATACATACTACATTCATATGGAAAGCCGAAAAATTTCATTGATATATCAAAAGACAGAAGTGCATTGAACAGGAAATGAGCTGAAAACAGAAAAAAATTAACTAAATGTAGTTAACAGTGAATAAAACCTAAACAGATGAAGAGGAAGCAGATCAAGGAAATTTACTTATCCCAATTAATCTCGGTTTGACCGAGCGACGCACTTTGAGTAGTAGCAGAATCCATTGAAGCCCAATTACAATCCAGGGAAAAAAAATTAAACCCTAATAAGTATAGATTCTCATAAACCAAACAAATCCGAAACGATGCTCGAAAATTCCTCCGTTCCAGAGACCAACTACAAATGGTTCTTCTCCGCTTCTTCTATAGAATTGGAAAATAAAATTTTTTTTTTGTTATGAAAACATTGCATTGACTGCTAATATCTTCAAGGTTTTCGCTTTCTACAAGTTTCTTGGAGCGAACCTAAACAATAAAAAGAAAGAAAACCGAAATTCATTCTATTCAAAAGTTGCAGCTCACACGCGCTTTGTGGTTGGAGGGCGGAGGGCGGAGAAGCTGCCTAGGAGTTGAACCCCATCATTTCAACCTATCAAAACTCGGTCAAAACTTGGGAGACATTTCTTAATTCCAATGTGAGTTTTGAGCACGTGACTGCCTCTCCTCCTTCCCATTGCCTCTGACGGCTCAACCTCCCTTCACTGCCCTCTGCAATTTGATTCAAATGTGAAACAATTTTTGTTCACAAGATATGAAAATTTTTTGATTTTCTATTTTAGTATCTTACATAGAAAAAAAAAATTTATTTATTATTTTACAGTTATAAAAAATTATAAAAATTGACATGTTTTTTATCTTTAAATATATAGATTACTATTATATTCTTCTTTTTTTTTAAATAATAAACTAACTTTTAATACGTCGTATAGATTCCTATCTTTGTAAAACTTTTAAATGGTCCTGTTTTTTATATTAATATACATTGATAATTTCATTGATACAATATTATCTTTTGTGCCAAAAAATTAATATATATATATCTTTTTATCTTATCCATAATACAAACAATTTAAATATGACAAATATGTGATAATATCTAATTTAACTATATAATTAAATTTTTATATATTTTAACAAAAATTTTCATGTGTAAAGCACATGTTGTGTTACTAGTACTTATAAAAATTACCCAGGTAAAATACGCGGTGAAATTTTAGTTTCGACATTAAATAGTGATGTAATGCCGAGAGGCTAAGTTTCCTCGCGAACACATGAATAATCTGTATGTATATCTATTTTATGTACAAAAAAAAAGGGAATAAATATTATTGCAAAAAAGAAAAAGAAGAAAATCAGCTAATAACTGTCGTTTACAGTTGTACGAAGGACTTTAAAAAGTGTAGTGAGTCCAAAAGTCGAGGTTGCATTTGAGAAAAAATCAGCCACCACTCACCTGTCTCTCTCTCTCTCAATCAATCAAGGAAATTCAACAGGCTCTGCAGCGAGAAATTGAAATGGGGTTCAGATCTCTAACCAAATTCACCGCTTTCACCGTTGTGCTGGTGTTCATGCATTATTGCTTCACCTTTAATCGACAGGTTTGCACATTTCTTCTTTTGTCTACCGAATCTGCATAAATATTGGGTTTTATTTTTTTAAAAGTTGTTTCTTGCTGTTGTTAGTGGCTTTTTGCCACTTGAAAAGATTTGGTTTCATTTTAATAAAGACTGACTTTTTCTGGCTTTATTGACTGGTCATTGAGAAACATTGAGTGATTGGGAAAGTATGCTTCAGTAACCGAAGATGAGAAGTGAAGAAATGGACACATTATAGTGTATCTAGTGTACGAGACTCTTGACATTATGAGATCTGAAAAGAGGGTTATATGTGCAAGTAAACTCTTGACATTATGAGATCTGAAAAAACGGTTATATGTGCAAGTAAACTGGTTCCGTGATTCGAACCCGTCACGTCAAGTCCCAATAAAGAACATTACCGTTGTAGCTCATAATTGATTTTTCATGAACTGTGTCGAGGGGATTCTATACATTTCTTGGCCTTTAGGCTAAGATCAATAGTCAATGGGATTCCAGAATCATATATACACACATTATACTTTCCTTTATGGTATTCCTATTTTATGATTTCTGGTTTTTATTTCAGAAGCCTACGATCCACTTGATCCCAATGGAAATATCACAATTAAATGGGATATCATGACCTGGACTCCTGATGGATACGTTGTAAGTATAAGTAAACCCTAACTTTTTTGTTTGTGGTATAGCAGCACTACTATTGAAAGTACTAATAGAGCGTATCCTTTTATTGAGAACAATTTTGTACTTATAGAATTTGGTTCAATATACTTTTTTGGGTCGTTTTCACTTTTAAGTCAAGCTGAGTAATGCTTTCATTAGGTCAAAGGGCACATCTTATGAAGGCGTGATATGGATTAAGTAGCTAATCAGCTTCTTGTTGGGATTGGATAGGCTGTTGTTACAATGTACAACTTCCAGCAATATCGACACATTCAAGCACCGGGCTGGTCATTAGGATGGACGTGGGCAGAGAAGGAGCTGATTTGGAACATGATTGGAAGTCAAACCACAGAGCAAGGTGATTGTTCAAGATTCAAAGGGAACATTCCACATTGCTGTAAGAAGGACCCAACGGTCGTGGACTTACTGCCAGGAACTCCTTACAACCAGCAGGTTGCAAATTGCTGCAAGGGAGGAGTACTTAACTCATGGGGGCAGGATCCAGCAAATGCTGCAAGCTCATTCCAGCTCAGTGTTGGTGCAGCCGGAACCACCAACAAAACTGTAAGAGTGCCTAGGAACTTCACCTTGAAAACCCCAGGACCTGGCTATACTTGTGGACCCACAAAAGTTAGCAAACCTAGTACATTTTTTTCCCAAGATGGAAGGAGAGTAACACAAGCTATGAGTAAGTTACTTGCAAAGAGTGTAAAACCCTTTGTTTACATTTATACGTGCTTCTTTAATCTTTAAAGATCAAGCCAGCGCTAGAATCGATTATTCCTATAGCTGATAAATTCATCTAAAACTGAAATGTGTTAAGACTTCATTCATCATTGATCTGCGGTGTCCTGAAGTGAAGTGGGAGGTAAAAGTGCCTATTTAGATAATCATTTAAATTGTTTCAAATTGCTTTTCAGTTTCTGGTGTGAGAAGTTGTTATTTAAATTGTTTCTCTTATGGCAGTGACATGGAATGTTATATGCACATATTCCCAATTCTTGGATCAGAAAGCTCCTACTTGCTGTGTCTCTCTCTCATCTTTCTATAATGACACGATTGTACCCTGTCCAACATGTACCTGTGGCTGCCAAAACAACAGTACTCAGCCAGGGAACTGCGTAGAGTAAGTTCTTTCATAAGTCTCTCACCTACTCTTGTTTTTGTCCTGTTAATATGATTCCTCCTATTTTCTTCTAACACGTTTTTCTATTCCTTTCTGTTCCATTTTAAAGCCCAAACCCTCCATACTTACCATCCATTTTTTCAAGCCCCGCCAAGAACAGCTATGCGCCTCTGGTCAAATGCACAAGTCATATGTGCCCAATTCGAATTCACTGGCATGTGAAACTAAATTCCAAGGAATATTGGCAAGTGCAGGTCACAATAACAAACTTCAATTACAGGATGAACTACACACAGTGGAACTTGGTCGTCCAACATCCCAACTTTGACAATCTGACGCAGTTTTTCGGCTTTAACTACAAACCATTGACTCCTTATGCATCTATTAGTAAGTTAGATTTCTTGCAGTGATGTTCTTTATATAGGTAAAGGGCATGATGTATCAACTAGGAGG